CCAGTCCCATCTAGCCCACAAAGATGCTTTTCAGAAATCAGTTGACAGTCTTATGGGAACTCCCCTGTGGGTAACTGACTGCTTTGCTCTTGCTGCATTTAAAAGTCTCTCTTTATCTTTACTTTTGGCATTTTAATTATGACATGTCTTGGAGTAGGCCTCTTTGCATCCATCTTGTTTGTGATTCTCTATGCTTCCTGGACTTGCATGTCTATTTCCTTCACATAATTAGGGAGTTTTTCTGTCATTACTTTTTCAAGTAGATTTCCAGTTTCTTGTTCTTTCTCATCTCTGGCACTGCTATGATGCAAATGTCGGATCTATTAGAGCTGTCCCAGAGGCTGCTTACACTGTCCTCAGTTTTGGTTTTGGTTTGGTTTGGTTTGGTTTGGATTCTTTTTTTTTATTGGTTGTATTTTTCCCCTTATGTTACAAATCATTGATTTGATTCTCAGCTTCATCCACTCTACTCTTGTTTCCCTGTATATTGTTCTTTGTTTCAGTTAGTGTATCCTTTGTGTCTGACTGGATCTTTTTAATGCTGTTGAGGTCCTCACTAAGTTCCTTGAGTACCCTTATAACCAGTGTTTTGAACTCTGCATCTGATAGATTACTTATCTCCATTTTGTACGCTCTTTCTCTGGAGTTGTGATCTATTCTTTTGTTTGGGCCACATTTGGTTCCTTGTTTTGGCAGCCTCCCTGTGTTTGTTTCTATGTTTTAAATAGAGCTGCCTTGACTCCATGTCTTGGTAGTGTGGCCTAAAGTAGCAGGTGTCCTGTAGGATCCAGTGGCACCACCTCCCCTATCACCCAAGCTGGGTACTTGAGGTTCACCCTTTGTGTGGGCTGAGTCCACCCCACTCTTGTAATTAAGACTTGATTGCTGTTGGCAGGCAAATGGGAGGTATTTACCCAGGCCAGGCTTCAAGGACTGGCTGTGACCACTGGCCATAAGCCTCCACACTCTTTGGAGGATTAGCTGTGCAGGGGTAAGGTGGTGGTGTTCTGATGTGGTCTATAGCTGTCCATGGGGTGTGCAGACTCTGGGATTTCCCAGGTGGTGCAAGCCAAGGTCAGCTCCCACCTGTGTTATGCCCAGGGCCACCTGCATGAGTTACAAAGCAATCTGAAATATTTGCTACTTGTGCTTGACTTGGAGATTCCCAGGTGAAGCCAAGCTGTGAACCTAGGTGGGCTGCTGCTAGTGCAGGACCAGGGCCACTTAGCAAGGAGTACAGGGGCTGTAGTGTCACCGAAGCCAGCCATTGCTTGTTTGAGAGAATCTAGGAAGTCATGAAGCATGAGCCAAGACCAGTCATTCATATGGAAAAACCACTGTTAACAGCTTGGGTGGGCCTATAAGTTGGGTGAGGCAGAGCCTCAGGGGATCTCCAGGGTGGAGCAAACAGTGTGAGCGAGGTGGATGGAGTCTCGGATATAGCACCTACCTGCCATCTCTGTGGCTCTGTGAGGGGATAGCGTTCAGAAAAGGAACAATGGCCTCTGCCTGCCTTTCTGTGTGGGCGAAAGGTGTTCCCCAGCTCTCGCCTTGATGCCAGACACTTCAGTTTCCCCCTTTATGCCACTAATGTCTTTCAAGCTGCTACCCTGGTGCTAGAACTCAGAGGGAGTGAGTCTCAGTGAGTCCACTTATGGGTTCTTTAAGAGAAACTGCTTGGGACTCCAGGAGTTTCTTCCACTGACTGAATCCCCACTGCTTTTTGCAGCCGGAATTTATGGGGACTTTTCTTCCTGACACTGGAACTTTGGGCAAGAGGGCCTGGTGCGGGGCAGGGACTCCTTGCTCCTGAATTATCCCTCTCAAATTCTTATCCACCACTCATGGGCGTGGGACCAGCCTGATCAGCATCTACACATCTGCACCCCTCCTACCTGTCTGTCTGCATGTGGTTTCTTTAATCCCATAGTTGTCATACTTACACTCAACTTGTTTTACAATGGTTCTGAGGGTTGTTCTGTATTTTAGTTGTAATTTTGATGTGGTTATGTGAGGAGGCAAGCCATGTTTACCTGTACTTCCATCATTATAGGAAGTGATTTCATTTCATGTCTCTAAAATGAGAAGAAACATATCCATGCACTGCAAAATCGCTGTAGAACTAAATAACTGAAAGAATTTTCTCTACTGATTCTAAATTATCTGTTTTCTCTACTTGTACCATAAGCATTTAGGACAGAGCTCTTCCTTTGGTTTCCAAAGGAAGAAATAAAAATAGTTGAGAGAAACCAAGTGATTCTGGAGCAAAGGCAGGTCCAATCTCAAGTCAGAGTTAGAATTCCAAATGCTGAACATCATACTAGACATTCAATCAGTATTTATTTGATTAACTGGTGGCTTCTTTAAAAGGAGTGAAAGCTCAGCTCCTTGAGGAAGATGGGACATGATACCTTCCATTCATCGCTGACCACAGCAGTGCTGGCACAATCTCAGGAGACCTTTGTGTGACTTCAGTGGTGGTGACAGTTTAATATGGAACCAATCATATTGTCGTGGGTCCCTGCTTATAAGCTGGCAGACCCAGGGTTATGGGTATTTATTACAGCCTTGGTTGTAGCCAAGGGTTACAAGTTGAAGCAAAGTTAATAAATCCAAGACTAGGAAGAAGAGCTGAATCTAAGGACAAGAAAGAGAACAATCCCCGAAGAAATTGACTTTCAGACTGCTCCCTCATTTTGCCATCATTTCAGTTGCTTCTCTCTCTCTCTCTCTCTCTCTCTCTCTCTCTCTCTCACACACACACACACACACACACACACACACACACACACACCCTGCCCCGCCTTTCCAGGTGCCAGCTCTTCCACTTATGCCCAGTGTCCTTGACTCATGCCTCCTCTCTCTCCAAACCACTGCCTGTGAAACTTTGCCTCAAACCAACAGTCCAGATTGGGGCCCTCCTCTTTCTCACATGCACATTGCCTGATTTCCTCCTGAGAAATCTCCGTGTGTCCACCCCACTTACCCAAATTCTCCCAGTCCTTTACATCTCCACTGACACTCCTCCTGGAAACCTTCCCTGAACCTGTCAGCCCCTCAGCTCCCTGAAGAGTCTGGGGCACTGAAAACCTCTCTTCTCATGGGTAGTTTTCACATAAAACTCTCTATAGGGTTGGATGCTGAGCCACTTAACCAGACTGAGATCATTCTCCCAGCGGAAGCCCTGGCCTGTGCTGCTCTGGGACAGCGCCAGGAGCCTCGAGCACCCTGCTTGTCCATCTCTGGTTGACTATTGCTGTTATACGGCAAGAATAGCAGACGAGGGGTCTGGAAGGTCAAAGAAATGGGGCAGAACAGGGGAAGCAGGACATTGTGTGACTTTAAAAGATCACACACATATATTAAACATGCACGATGTCCTTTAACTTTGTCCCAACGAAGGGCCTTAACACAGTGCAGGAGCATTTCAGTGACACGGACACAAGTAATAAATTCACTGAAGCTTCTCGGGGGAAATGTAATTCAACTTGATTCTCTCTGGAGAGAGGTATCAGAGTCATAGAAAGAAAAGTTGTGCGTGAGTATATATGTGAGTTGTGTGTGTACGTGTGTCTGTTTTTCTGTGTGAGCACATGTATCACTGTGGTTTGCAGGAGTAGTTCCTACTCCTAATAACTTCCTTGGTCATTGCTTTCACATGCCCTCAATGGGCAGCCACAGTCCTGGTTAGAGCCAGGATTCCACCCCATGCAACATATTGAGAATGGGATGGGCCACAGGGACTCCTGAAGGCTGGAGCTACAGAGAGCAAGAGAGCAGGAAGCTGAAGCCCCCACAGTGCCAGTGGGGGCCGTGGAGAAGTGAGGCCTGGAGGTGGTGCGGAGCTTGGACCAGGCTATGGCTGAGCAGGAACCATAACTCAAGTCCTGCTCCTGACCTGTCATGAGGCAGGGCACCAGTGCCCGCTGGGAGCCTTCTTTGTTACTTATAAAACAGTGTCAGTGAAAGAGCAGCAGTAACAAGTCTCACCCTCTCATTAAGTTGCCATCCAACGCTTGGCTGCACTTACTGTCTTTCCAAATTTTGCCACGGGGGCCGGCAGTGGTATTTCTCCTTAGAGGCTCCAAGTAAAGAAGCCAGAGAGGGATGGAGAAGGTTTAAGTAAGTGCAATGTATGAACAGGTGGGAGAAAAGGCCCCACAAGAAGGGCAGATGAGGTGAGCCAAAGAGTCAGCCATGGAGTATGACTGCAAAGGCCACGGGCCAAGTTTAACAAATCATTTCTCCTCTCAGCAGGGGAGGAAAACCAGACCAGGCAGGTTCTGGGAGTTACCTCGGAAAACTCCAGCCTCCTGAGTCCTTCAGTTTACCTTACCACAGCACAGAGGCAAAGCTGTGTTAGGGTGAGTCCCAGACGCAGACAGGTCCCACAGATAATTCCCGTTTTCCTAAGAGGCTGCTGTAACTACGACTTGGAAACAAAGCTGGGCAACCTCACGATATGAGAGCTCCTTTGAGACTTCTTGTCTACCGTTGGTCTGAACCTGTCTAAACCAAGGCATCTGTGCCTCAGCCAGCCTAATCCTCCTGGAAAATGCTTTCATCTCACCCCTCCCCAGATCAGATGACTCCCCTGGCTCCACATGGTCTCCTGCTTCAAGTCTAAACTGCTCTTCCCCATTCTAGGCACCCCAGTCCAGTCCTGCCTCACTCCGCATCCTTAGAGACCCTTTTGCTCATCTACATACCTGGTTTAATCAGTCCTGCCTCCTCACTCTTCCCTGTACTCTCTGTGCTCATTCCTAACTCTGGTGCTTTTTTCCCCTCCTGTCTTGCCTAAGAAATCCTGTCTTCTCCCTCTGCTTAAAAATAACCTGCCTAGTCACTAAGGTGTGGCTCGGGTTCACTTCTTCCATGAACTATCTTTACCAGTCCACACGGATCTCTCAAAATGTCATTGTAGCAACCCATCAGGGAGCAATGATTGTGTGTGTTGCAGAAAGCCCAGGCTTAGCCCTAGCCAGGCAGCTCAGCTGGTTAGAGTGTTGGCCCAATATGCCAAGGTTTCGGGTTCAATCCCCAGCAGGGGCACATACAAGAAGCAATCAATGAACACAAGAGTTAAGTGGAACAACCAATCTTCTCTCTCTTTCTAAAATCAATAAGTAAAAATTTTAAAACTGATAAAAACAGATACTACACTTGATCTTAGACTAAAGATCAAGAAGTGATCAATAAGTACAATATTTTTTTTTAAAAGAAGAAAAGAAGACAAAAGAAAATAGAAAAGAGAAAGCAAGCCCCAGCCCACACCTAGACAGCAAGATCCAAGTTCATCGTTCACACTCTGGAGTCAGCTGGGCCTGGGTTCACAATGGGCCACACCAGTCCATGTGGCACATTCGTGCCCCTTAGAGAGAGGCGTTCCCAGCTTGCACAGCTGTCCAAAGCAGCCCCGGTGCAAATCTCTCCTCTGATGCCCACCAGCTGCATGGCTTGAAGCAAGTCCTTAACTTCCATTGTCGTAGGTCCTCATCTGCAAAATGGAGATAACAGAGCCTGCCCCACCTGGTTGTTTTAAACGTCAAGAAAACTAATATAAAGTGCTCAGCATTAGAACCCCCTGGGCGCTCACCAAACGGTCGTTAGCCTGCTCTACTTCTTTGACCAGCTGTCTCTAGGAAGAAGAAGAGGCATCAGTAACTTCTTAAGAGAGCAACTGACTCGTCCACTTCCCTCTCCTCTTTTCCCTTTGCCATTGTCACCACATCTCCTAATTGGCAATATCAAAGACTCCAAACCCAAAAATAATACAGCTTTGGGGGGGGGGGGAGTGTATCTGGGGACTAAGGATAATCACATTTAGCTTAAGGCCATTCAACATCAGGTATACAATAGAGAGAGAGAAAAAAAATTAACCTCTAAATGGGAGGAGAGTAAGAAACTGGTCCCTGAAGCCAGTATTTGAGAGTGAAAAGACATGAGAACAGATGAGTAGATGCAGAAACCGAGGCAGTACAGGGCTGACTTGAGTGTTCTTAGTAAGTCGCTGGATTGGCTTGGGGGTCTGACACCCTAAAGTTCTTTTATTTTTATTTTTTGAGACAAACATTGATTGTTTCCCTCCTGTTCGCCCCCAGCCGGAAACCTGGCCTGAAACCCAGGCATGTGCCTTGACCAGGAATCAAACCGGGACCTTTCTGTTTGCAGGAACGACACCCAACCCACTGAGCCACACCAGTCAGGGCTGATACCCTAAGGTTCTATCTTCAGTCCACCCCTAACTTGCTGTGTGAGCTGGACAAGTTATTTAGCCTCTCTGTGCCCTAATTTCCTTATCTAAAGATAGTAGATGAGCGTAACCATATAAGGGATACAGCTTGACAGTGTTTGGGGACAGTGTAAGTGTCCCCATATCTGGTGGATATTTAATAGGTAAATGACCCTCCTTGGCATCCAGTAAGAGATGAAGCTAAGCCCGCTGAATAATGACAGGATTAATAAAGAAAACTAGTAAATTAAGGGAGCGGTTAGGGAGGAAGGCAGGGCGTTAAGAAGGGAGGCAGGAAGGTGAGCCAGATGTTACATGGAGCACTAGCACTGCAACATTCAGCATTAAATTCGGATGCTTGTTGCCAGCCAGATGTGGGGCCACTGGTTACACTCACCATCTCCCTCCACATGAATCAGGGTCAGGGTCCAGGACAACTGATTTGGTTTGAGGAGGAAACAAAATACAGCGATAGTTGCATTTATCTCAGTAAATATCTTATACCTTGTCAAGTATCTGACACATTTCATGTGTACATTAAATTTTGATGAGGGCTTCTACAAGCCTTCAGCTAGTATTTAATCTATCCTGGTGAATTATTTAACCAGAGCAGAACTCGTGCTTCCAAGAGTATTTATTTTGCATTTTTATTGGAAATAATTTATATAAAAGTAGAATAGATCAATAAACCCCAGTGTACCCAGAATTCATCACCCAGAATCAACAATAATCAACTCACAGTCAAGCTTATGTCATGTATATTCCACTCACTTCCTGCCCAAACTCAAACTATTGTAAAACAAATCCAAAACACTGTATCATTTCATGATGCAGATACTTCAAAAACAAAGAAAAGGGAGAAGGGCATTTTACATAAATGTCACTTTTCCTAAAACAAGGGATGGGGTATTGCAGAAAGGAAAGCAAAAAGCCCAGCTCCCAGGGTGAGCAGAAAGTGACCAGTTCGACTCCATTTTAATTGCTTCTCCACCTTACATCTACACAGTTTATCCATTATCCTTGCTGTTTAATACATTGCCCTGTAATTGTAGCTTTAATGGTCTCGCTCATCAACTCCTACTGAATTGGAAACACCTGGCTAGCAAGAGCCATTTTCCGAATTCAGTGCTGTATGTTGTAGTGCTCCATGTGACATCTGGCTCACCTCCCTACCTCTCTTCCTTCTTAATGCCCTGACTTCATCCCTAGCCAATCTCCTAATAACTTCCTAACTTCCTTTTATTACTCCCATCAACATTTACTGGGCCCAACTCCTAGCATATAAGTAGACAAAATGAAAATGAGATGAGAACACCTAGCAGACACTGGAGGCTGAGAGTTGGAGAAAATGGTGAGTGCAGCTGAGAAAAGTAAGAATGAATTTGCCAACAAAGGAGGAGGGAAGTGGTTAAAGGTGCAACGTGGCATTCCAGGTGGAGGAAGCAGCCCTGGCAAGGTCAGGGCAGGAAATTTGGGGCCTATGTGGGGAACTGCAAAATGCACGATGTGGCTGGATCAACGGGATGAATAAAGGGCAGAGAATAACAAACACTGGAATACATAGAATTAAGCACAGTCCAAGTCTCGGAGGACAGTACTGTTGAACTGAGGGCGTATGGGTGGAGTAGAGCTGGTGGGAGAAGGAGTCCTGATGTGAGAGAGATACATGATGCCCTCTCCAAACACCTAGGTTCACTGCAACACTTTCCATTTCAACAGTATCTCCTATGAGAACATACCCTCTGAAAACAAGCATATCTCCTTGATAGTTTACTAAGAACTGGTGCCTCCACCAAACATTGTTCCACAATAGAGAAACTACATGTCAGATCAGCAATATTGTCAAAGGCATGCACATCTATTTAGTTTGCAAACATTCATCTTTCCAGAAAATGTTTTCAGAACAGACACTAGAGCAGTCCTTACTTTTATACATTTGTTTCTCTTGGGACAATAAAACAAATGCTCATGGGGATGGAAGGATGGTAATGCAGAGAAATAATTTCATTCTGGTTATTGTTTTTATTAGGTTGACTGAGGCTGCAATGCATCTGTGGAAACACATTTGGAAATGTTCACTTCATGGCACAAGAGCTGTTTCATCACAGAGCTGAGGCTTTGAGCTAGATTCATAGAACTCAAAACAAAACCCAGGGTTGCCAATTGGCTGCTGAATTGGAGTGCCGCAGACGGTCACTGCCATGGAATTATTGAATATCTGTTCTGGCTATCACCACTACCCCAATTTGTTTGGCAGTTGCAAATGCTGCACTTTGCACTTGACTGGTTTCAGAGCTCCAGGGCTAGAGGGATTGATGTTGTTGTAAGTTCCAGGGGTCACGAATCTGAATTGCAATGAAGTGTGCAATAGTGAGCTCTGGAGTGAGGAGTGTGATTAAACGACCTCTAATGTTCCCTCTGGTCCTTGGGCCACAGATATCTGGAGCTACTATATTTATAACTTTTTTCTCAGATAAAAGAAACCAAACTTCAGCCACATGACTCACTGATGACGATGTAGGGAACAGGTTGACAACATTGAGATCAAGTTTTATGCTTATAAGATTTGCCTTTAGATTCCAGCAAGAATCTTGTTCCAGCACAATACCAGTCCCCCTGCATCCAGACATGACTTTGACTCCACCCATATGTTCTCCATTTGAGTCAGGGGCTCACTCACCTGTTTTTCGCATTTGTAGTCCATGGTTTTCTATGCCCTGATTGTACTGTCTTGTGTGGCTGCTATCCATCCACTCTCACCATCATCTGCAAGTTCAGTTGTGCCTCCAACTTCAGAGATACACCTGATCTCAGAGAAGACAGGCTGTTTCTTGGGTACGTACAGCCTAAAATCCCTGTCTTGAATCCCTCCGCTCTTAAACCATCACTAGCAGGGTCTATTTCCAATCTTTCAGAGGCTGCTTGCCCAACATGTGCTGCTAGTTATCTTCATGCTAACATCCAGCTCTGTGGACGTTGGCAGATCTCCTCTCCTACTCCTGCTTGGAGCCACCACTGGATTTTAAACCGTAAGGCCTTGAAAATTGTCCTCGTGACCTACAACTTCTAGATCCCTGGGACACATAGCTTCTGGGGCCCCACCACCTTGTGTCTCCCAGTGTGGCTCCCATGTGGATTTTTAGTCTCTGTCTTGACAGCCCAACCCGGGCTCATAATCCCACAGTTCCCTAGTCTGCCCCAGCCCCTGCCAGGCCTGAAGCCTCCCTTCTGACCCTGGACTTGATTTCTGACCAAGGAGAAAGTGAAGGTGAATGAATGTTTGGCTCTGCCAAAGCCTAGCCTCAGTTATCAGCACCACCTTATCACTTCCTAATTGCTTTTCTCTAATATTGATTTTGTTCCTTATATGACTGGACACTGGACTCTAACCCAGAATTTGACCTGACCATAATAATAGTGTCTGTCTTACACTTCTTCCTTCCCTGGAATTCTCAGGGCCTCTTGAGCCCCTGGGATATTACCTTACTCTGATAGTTGGCTCGAATGTACTCAGACCTTCCAAACCTTAACCAGCAAAAGCTGTGGGTCCAGGACTTCTGAACCAACCCAGGGTCCTTTCTAGGATGTCACAATATTATGATTTACCTCCGTGTCCTCAAGACTAACTTCTGTAGAAAATTACTATTCTTTGAGACAATAGGAATTTGTAAACATGAACAAACAGAAGTGCTATGTATACATGTGTATTTCATGATCATGTGAATTTAAGAAATACTTCATTACAGGACTTTCCAAGTCCTTTAATATGCTACTGGTGAGCATTGTAATATTAATGGGATAGTGGGAAGGGTGCATAGTATATAGCTTTTTTAAAATGCAGTGTCCTAGCTCTGGTTGGTGTGGCTCAGTGGATTGAGTGCTGGCCTGCAAACGAAAAGGTGGCCTGTTCGATTCCCAGTCAGGGCAGGTGCCCAGGTTGCAGGCCACATCACTGTTTCCC